CTCCTTGCTGCCTTCCCCCAACAGAATCAGCAGAGACAGCCTTGTCTAACCCTGGATGTGTGTCCGTTAGGAAAGCCCCGGCCTCTGGTCCCAGGGACGCCTCTGATCCCCTCTGTGACCTTGAGCCGACCATTTACATGATTTTTCTCTGTCACTAAGCCTGTAAGATGAGAGTTATAATACCAGCCCTGCTGGGAGAATCAAGCGAATTGCAGGAGAACATGATGATTAAAAGCGCAATCACGGGAGCTCATGCCCCTATTCCGCTGCCTACTCGCTGTGTGGCCTTGGGCAAGTGGCTCACACTCTCTGATCTTCAGTTTCTTCATCTGTAAAATAGAGGCAATAATGATACCTATGCACATGAGGTTTCTGTGAGGACAGAGGTTGTCAAGACATGAAAAACCTTTAGAACCGGATCTGGTGTGAAACAAATACTTAACCAACAGGCAAAAATACCGGCTTGAACCGAGAAGGCACTTTGGAAACGGGCCCTGTGAACCCTCCACCCGGGGCAGGAATCTCCGAGCCACGTGCGGGGACAATGACCTCCAGGTCGGTTTGCACACGAGGAAGAAAGACCTTGTTTTCTCCCGAGAAAGGAGGCTGGTCTACTGCAGGCCAGCGCAGCTCGTGATGCGATGGGTCCCCTCAGCCGAGTCTGGGCTGGACCACGGCCCTGGCCTTGTCAGTGGTCAGGTCGTACATGGGGCAGAAAGGGGGACCCCAAAGCACAGCTGGGTGGTGTTAGGAGGGAAGGGAGGCTGCCCCCCTTGGCAGCCCCTCCAGTCGGGGGTGGGGGTGCTAGAGGGAGAGGACCCGAAGAGTGGACACTCTCCATCTTGGCCACCAGGCCAGTGCAGAGGGTAGTTTTGAGGAGCCCCTCCGCCTGGTGGGCTCCTCCTGGTGCTGGAGTCTGTGGGGAGGAAGGAGACAGCTTCCTGCAGCTGGGGAGGGGGGAGAGTGGCCCCGTTTCCCCAGCCCTACTGCTTTCTAAGCACCTATCGCTCACAGTGCAGCCTGGGCAGGAAGCTGGGCAGCTCCTGGGCACCAAGGCAGCCAGCCCAGGGGCCTCTCTGTCTCTCGCTCACTCACCTCTGCTCCCTCAGGGCAGCGGGAAATCCTGCCTGGGGGGCTCTGTTCTCTTCTCTAGAGAGGGAGCAACCGGAGGGCAAGACTGTGATATATGCTCTGTGCTTGAACTGCCCGGCACACAGTAGGCACTTAATAAGTGTATGGGACTAACCGAAAACAAAGAGCAGTAATTGTGGTCCAGTTCGGAAAGCTGTAGTCTTCGTGGGGTCACGGCACCTCTGGACCGTGGGTTTCAGCTGTGCTCTCCCATTTCCTCCTTCAGAGCTGCCACTTCCTCCATGAAGCCCTCCTTGGTACCCCTTCCTTCCCATGCCCTAAGTAAATAACCTCCCCCCCCCCACCTTCCTCTTCACTCTGTACACAATTATGCCATTAAGGCGGGCTGCCAGAGGGGTTAGGGTCTCAGACCCTGGGGCTATCCTCAGAGTCACTTCCCCTTGATGTATTTCTCAGCTGTGTGACCCGAGGCCAATTTCATTATTACCTCCCTGTGCCTCTCTGTTCTCATCTGTAAAATGGAATTGATTATAGTACCTACCTATGCGCTGCGGTGAGGAGTAAGTTGATTTGTGGATTAAAAGTGTCTGGTGCTCAGTGACTGCTCTGAACCTCTACGTTGTTGCTTAGTTATGCTGGGATGTTTGCTCCTCACCCACATGTGGGCTTCTCGAAGCCTGGATCTTTCACTTCCGCATCCTCCTGCTGAGGTCAGCGTCCAATGTAGAATGGCGCTCAGCAAAGTGTGAAGGGATGGAGGGATAGACAGACGGATGGACGGAGACAGGGACATACATCTGGATGAGCCCAAGTGTGGAAGTGTGCCGTCCCCTAGGGACCTCACCTGCACACTCAGCTGTGGAGGCCTGGCCCACGGATACCCACTGGAGATGCCACCCCGACCCATGTCCCCTACCCTCCTGTCCCTGCTTACCCAAAGTTTCCACCAAGAGTGCCGAGGCGGGGGGAGGAGGCGCAGGGGCTGGGAGGGGAGGAAATGCCATCAGATCCAAATCCAGCAGGTTGGCTGCTTGGCAACCACGTGGGTGAGAGCAGGTGGAAAGCACTGGTGAAAATGAGGTTTCTGGATGAGCTGGGGTTTCATTTCCAGCCCCTGGTTCCTGAGGGCCTGATAGTACAGCCTGGGCTGCCAGCCCTCTGCCCAGGGCCCCTCCCTGCTTCTCACCAGGGGCAGCCATCCCACTGAGGCCCAGTGGGAGCCTGCTCTGTGCCAGGGTTGAGGTTTGGCACCAGCCCTCACAGGAAGCTTGGGAGGAAGGCACTGTACCCCATCTTTAAATTTAAAAAAATTTTATTGTTTATTTTTAAGAGAGAGAGAGCATGAGCAAGGGAGAGGCAAAGAGACAGAGGGAGACACAGAATCCGAAGCAGGCTCCAGGCTCTGAACTGTCAGCACAGAGCCCAACGCGGGACTCAAACTCACGAACCGCAAGATCATGACCTGAGCCGAAGTCGGACGCGTAACTGACTGAGTCATCCCAGTACCCCAAGCGCTGTACCCCATCCTAAGCTCATTCCTCCATCCGTCGTCCACCCATATTTACTGAGCACGTACTAGGCGCCTGCGCTGCACTGAGCGTGGGGGAGTCAGGGGGGAAGAGGTGAAGATCAAGGGCTGCTGTGTCTGGGGGCTGAGGGCTTCGTGTGCCGGGGGCTCAGGCTGCAGAGCTGCACCCGTGAGGACAAACAGGCGCGGAGGCAGAGCCCGTGTCCGTGTTCCGAGGCAGCCTGGCACTCGGCCGCCTCCCAGTGCCAAGTCGTAAAGAGACTCCTCGAGACGCAGACCGATGCCTTTATAATGCTCCCTCCGTGCACGGAGGCATTAACACGACGTCTATCACCATGGCATCGAGGTGCTTAGACAACCCGCTCCCCCCGGAGGATGGAAACAGCGTGAAGCAGATTATCTGTGTCTCACTGTGACATATGCGATCATGTATCACCGTGATGGATCAACAGTCAATGCCGCTGGGGTCCCCGCCGCCCCCCAGCCAGTAGAAGTGGCTTGTGTTTATTCGTCTTCCTCACCTGGTGGGCAGTCCCTGCTCCCGTGGGCCGCGCTCCTGGCGCTGCCGGAGTCGGTGGGAAACATCTACTGGCTTCCTTGTTCGTGTGCAAAGCCGCCGAGGGGAAAGCATTTGGAAGAGGGACCAACACCGGACCCCTCCTGTGCCATCACGGGGAGTGCACGGAGTAGGGGGGAGGCTCAGCTCTCACAGAGCGCAGCGCTGAATGCTGGCCCCACGCGTACCTGCCCTGGTCTTGGGCAAGCTGTGTTGCCTCTTGGGGGCATAATTTTCTCTTTTGTAAAACTGGGAGCATCACATCTATCTTGAGAGTTCATGGGCGCTGATGGAGACAGGAGGGGTAGTGCCAGCATGAGCCGAAACTCGGCTACATTTACCCCAGCCTCCTCTGCGTGCAGGCACGCGGGCACCCCCCCCCCCCACTGCCCCCACACCCCTTCCCTCTGCCTCATCCAGCTTGGCCCAGTGCTGGCTCGGGAACGCCAAGGGTAAAGGCTCCGGTCTGCTGGGGAGAGAGGTGCGGGCAGGGGAGAGGGGTGCGGGCAGCGAATAATTACTGTTCCTGCGGCAGTGCCTGCAGGAGGCGAGGAAAGGGGCTGGGGCTCCAGGCCAGAGGGGGAAGCAATTCATTTGTCTCCTGGTGGGGGAGGGGGTGGGCTCAGGCTGAAGGACGTTTCAGCAGTGGGGGGAGGGAAGGACATCTCAGGGGAGTCAGGGAGGAGGCATCCATCCGCGGGCCTCTGGCTGTGCTGATGGTGGGCAGCTGGCCTTCTGGCACCATTCGGGGCTGGGAATGTGTAGCTCCTGCCCTCACCCTCACTGTCTGCCCCTCCTCCATCTGGCGCCCATCCTGCCCCACCCCTCCCAACCCTTTCCACCCAAAACCCGGGCCCTGGGATGAACACATTCATCAGGGGCTCCTGGACCATCTCTGAGGGGAAGAAGTTCTGTGGGAACACAGTTGTTTTACGTTTCAGACGTGAATGAGCCGCGAAAGCAAACCCTGGATTCACTGGCGGGAGGGAATCCTGTGTCACCAGTGCCTTCTGGGTGGGCCATCGCTAGAGTCGGGGGAGGAGCATACCACGTGGGGTGGGTTCAGAGGCTCTGCCGAGGGGGAGTGTGAGCCCCAGATTTTTATTTATTTCATAAATAAAAAAATGTTTATTTATTTATTTTGAGATGGAGAGAGAGAAGGTGGGGGAGGGGCAGAGGGAGAGAGAGGATCCCAAGCAGGCGCCACACTGTCAGTGCAGAGACTGACGTGGGGCTCGAGCCCCCGAATCGTGAGCAGAAATCAAGAGCCAGAAACTCAGTTGACTGAGCCACCCAGGTACTCCTTGGGTTATTCTTTTAAAGTTTATTTATTTATTTTTGAGAGAGAAAGAGCATGAGCAGGAGAGGGGCAGAGAGAGAGAGAGGGAGGCAGAGAATCCCAAGCAGGCTCTGAGCTGTCAGTGCAGAGCCCAACACTGGGCTCGAACTCATGAACCATGAGACCATGACCTGAGCTGAAACCTAGAGTCGGACGTTTAACTGACTGGGCCACCCAGGCACCCCAGAAAGTCCAGATTTTTAAAAAATGTTTATTTATTTTGAGAGAGAGAGAGAGACAGAGACAGAGCATGAGTGGGGGAGGGGCAGAGAGAGAGAAGGAGACACGGAATGCGAATCAGGCTCCAGGCTCTGAGCTGTCAGCACAGAGCCCGACAAGAGGCTTGAACCCACGAACTGTGAGATCTTGACCTGAGCTGAAGTCAGACACTCAGTCGCCTGCGCCACCCAGGCGCCCCAAGTCCAGGGTTATGGAGAAGAGCAGGCCCAGTGAGGCCCTGAGGAAGCAGAAGGGTGGCCAGGGTGGAGCTTTGTGGGGACTCAAAGGGGAACTGTGGCCACCAGCAGGCCATCCCCTCCGGTGAACCAGAGAGGAAGAGGGGAACGCTGACCAGGAAGCCCCGATGGAGAGGCGGCCTCCGTGGTGGTGGCGGGCCCCGCCGGACCCGGGCTCGGGCCCCTGGCTCCTGGGTTTGCTCCTGTTTCCCTGGACCCTGCAGCTCGCAGGTAAGGCCGCCTTCCTTCTTCCGCGCTCTCTGGCTCGCACATCAGAGTGGCTTTCATCTGTCCGTGCAGCTAATTCCTGGGGACCTATCTCGGGAGGTTTGCTCGCTGCGTTTGAACATTGCAGACTTCACAGGGGAAGCCTTCAGGGACCCGGGAGATGTTTAGCTAATGCCTCCGCCAAGGTGGCTTTTGAAGGGGTGGGGACAGCGCTCCCCTCCGTGTCCCTGCTGTGTTAACAACCTTCTTCCCACAGCCTGACCTCGAGGCCTTAGACGAGGGGGTGGGCGGCATCCAGGGGCGTCAGAATAGGGGAGGGGTCAGTGGGGAGGGACAGCTCACCCCCAAGGAATCCTACGGTGGAGCCAGTGTTGACCCTGCCCAGCCGCAGAGCCACCCTCCGCCTTCTTCCCCGTGTTAGCCAGGGAGGCGAGGGGCGGCCAGGGGTCGGCCACCAGAGACACTGTGCCCTGGGACACAAAACCGTCACCGCTGCCAGAAAGCGTGGCACTCTCACTTAACAGAGCACAACCAGAGGCCACCTTGCATTATTTCACAACGGGAGCTTATGCCATTCCCGGGACCAGCGCCGCGCCCCCTTTCCTGGCCCCGGGTCCCCTCAGAAGCTGGGTGGCCCGGATCTAAGCCACCCCCAGGAGTGGGCCTCACCAGGGCTGCCCACACGGAGGCCCCTCTTAAAGTCCCATGCTCCCCCCGCCCCACTGTACGGCCGAGGCTTTCTTCCTACTCGTCTAGACGTTTGTGAGGCTTCCTGGAGCTGCACCCACTTCTGCTTCATTCTCCACCTTTCCTTTATACCACAAACAACAGCAGCTACCCTTATTATTGAGAATTAGCCACTTTGAACACTTAATCTGGGCTTTACTCTCCCACTCAGCCTGGCCCCAGCCACCCTTGAGGTACCATCCCCGCCAGCACCACTTAAAAACAGGGAAATTGAGGGGCGCCTGGGTGGCTCGGTCGGTTGAGCCTCCCACTTCAGCTCTGGCCAGGGTCCTGTGGTTCAGTGGTTCGGGCCCCACATCGGGCTCCGCGCTGACAGCACAGAGCCTTCTTGGGATTCTCTCTCCCTCCCTCCCTCTCTCTCTCAAAAATAAATAGATGTTAAAAAAAACAGGGAAACTGAGGCCCAGGGAGGTCAGATAGCTTGCCCAAGGCCTAGAGGGTGAGGAGAGGTCAAGGTCAGACCTGAGTCAGCCTGAACCCCAAGCCAGGACCTTTGGCAGTGGGCTCATGGGGCTCCTCTTAGCTTTCTTTGTAAAAAACATTCCTCATAGAAAAAATTTCTCTCCCCTCCCCCCAGGAGGTGAGAGCTGACTGTGGTACCTGCTGCAGGCTTCCTGGGCCCCTTGCGACATCTGCCTCTTCAACCTGGTGCACTTTGCACCCCCTCCTGCCCCCCAGAGGCTGTGGCCCCAGGAAATGCAGCTTGTAGCTGACGATGCGTCGGACTCACACTTAGTCATTTCTAACTTAAGTTCCTTCAAATTCCCCGTCATTTCTTTTTGTGCGGCCCCTCCTCCCCAGAAGGGACCCAGCATGTCTGGGTGACGGTGGATGACGCTTTGCGGGATGCTGCTGTGAGAAGCGCTTCTATGACTGTCTTGACTGTAAGCAAACAGCACATTCCCACCCCCACCCCCCAGTATTGCAGCAAAGTTTGTACAAAAGAGAAACTCTGCTCTTTCACAAGAGGTGGAAAAGCCCGGGGGTCCTCCCGCTCCTCCTGGAGGGGCCGAGAGCACCCCATTACTTGGTCCTGCCCCTTGGGGTGCCTGGCTCTCTGGCTCTCTGTCACTGAAGCCTAGGGTCAATGTGCCATTTCCCTGAACTGCAGAACGGTGCAAGGTCAAGTACACGCTAGGGCGTTCAGCCTGAGTTCCGATCTGAGCTCTGTAACGCATCCCAGGACCCTGGGCAGGCTCCTAATGTCTCTGTGCCTCAATGGCCTCATCTGTTAAATGGGTGTGATAGTACTGCCTGCCTGGTATCACACCCGGAGACTGAGTGGTTAGGGCACATGGTTGGGGCTCAGAGAAGGTCCTAGCTGAGCCCGGCAGAGCTGATCGAACTCAAGATTCAGTTGGCCCCCTGGGTAGCTTAGCAAGCGCCCCGGCTCCTTGGGGTCTCTGACTTTTCCAGCGGCCGCTGGCACAGCATCCCAATAGAATGGCGTCTCCAGACTGCTATTGCCCCCAACCCTCCTCCAGAGGTGGGGCGGGACTCAAGCCTGCTCTCCTCCGGTCCTTTGAGTTCTCTGCAAATTCTCCTTTTCTCAAAGGGTCTGGCAGCCACTGCGGTCTCAAGGGCAACGGCTCGCCCCCAACGGTGACTCTTTGGTCACCTACAAGGGCCTTGGGGCCAGACAGACCGGGTTCAAGTCCTACCTTCTTCTATTGACTGCTGTGTGACCTTAGGCAAGTTACTTAACCTTTCTGTGCCCTCAGCAAATGTCAGTCCCCTTTCTCTTCTTGGCCTTCCCAGAACTCTGGGCTATAGTGATTTCTCGAATATCCATGCAGGAGGACCGGTGTTCGGCACTTGCGGGGAGGGGGGGGGGGGACCTGGAGGTGAACAGCCCGTACCTCGCAGCCTGGTAGAAACGCTGAGATCTGCCCAGAGGACATGACAGAACACGACCCAAGGAGGGAGTCACCGTCGCAACCTTGCCCCTCCCCCCCTTGGCTCCGGCCTCAGGTGTCTGGGCTCCCTTTGTTGTCCTAAAGAGGTTCAGGAGCCTCCCGCCTTCTTTCTCGCAGCTCCGAGCCTCTGTCAGGACTGGCCTCTGCTTTTCATCTTTGTCTAATCCCAATAAAGAGCGTGCGAGGCAGGCGGAGAGAACGGCTGGAGGTGGGGCAGGGGGAGGGCCGGAGGGGGCGAGGGAGCCCAGTCGGGGAGGAGGCAGAGCAGGTGGGTGGGGTGGCCGGCACAGCGTGCGGGGCCAGAAGGCAGAGGCAGGGGGAGGGAAGGCGGAGAGGTCTGGTCCGACTGCAGAGGAGGGGCTCACAGTGGAGCAGTGGGTTATGAATCCCACTGGGCTCTATTCTAGTGGATTCTAAGCGCCTGTCAGGGGGGGTTCAGATGCCCTTCCGGTTGGCCCTACTGTCATTCATTGCTTTCTCTTTTTAACTCGCGAGCTATAATACGTATACGGAAAAGTACAGTGAGTGTTCTGTAATAAAGGCCTGTGTGGCTCCCACCCAGAGAGCACTGCAGGGCCCCACGGCCCGTGGCACCCTCCGGTCCCCCACCAAGATACCCCCCTCTCCCATCCAGACTTTTAGGGCGATTGTGTCCTTCATAGTTTTATTCTTCAGTACGTGTGTGTTCCTGAATGATATAGATTAGTCTGGCCTGGTTTTGAACTTGGTATAATCAGAACGATACCGTATATTCTTTTGTGACCTGCTTCCATCACTCAGGGTTATGTTTTGGAAGATATATCCAGTTGGCGGCGTGGCTGTGGTTTGTTTATTCTCATCGCTAAAGAGCAGGGCTAAGTCCAGCCCACTGCCTTTCGGCACGGTCGGAGAGTCATGAGTGGTTTTTATATTTTTTCATTTTAATTGGAAGAAAATCAAAAGAAGACTCTGTCGTGACACGTGAAAATCATACAATATTCGCATTTCAGGGTCCATAAATAAAGTTTTATTGGAACAAAACCACACTCATCTGTTCGTAGATCATCTGTGATTGCCGTCGCCCGTCGCCGGCAGCGTTGAGTAGTTGTGAGAGAGCCCATGTGGCCCCCAAAGTGTAAACTATTTCCTATGTGGCCCTTTACAGAGCAGGTTTGTCAGCGCCTGCTGTGGAGGGTCCCCTTGGTCGAACTCGCTGCAATTTACTTAGTTTACGATTGACACTTCGTGCGCTTCCTGTCTGTGGCTGTGAACAGGCACTCGGGGTGTCTGGGGGACGTGTTCCCGTTAAGGCTGCTTCGTTCCAAGCGGTGCCTCCCCGCGTGGACTGTGAGGTTCGGGGGCTGGAAGCATGCGGACTTTCTTGGTTCGAGTCCTCGACCCCTCGCGCGGTGCCCGGCACCCGGAGATGCAGTAGCAGGGGACACTCAAGTCGTCAGCCACAGACGACCTGGGAGGAGTCCCACGAAGCCCTGGTGGAGATGGATGCCGCCAGGAGAGGGAGCTGAGTCCCGGGTGTGAGGTGGGGCCCCGGCTGTGGGGCGGGCCTGGGCCCCGGCTCCTGGGCCCAGGAGGGGCGACAAGGCCCTCACGTCTTCAGAACAAGAGTGTGGATCCTGAAGTTCTGGGTCAACGTGGGCCCTGAAATAGGATCTCACCCTTGTTGTGGGTCCAGGGGCCATGGTGGGAGTGCGGGCCTCAGGCGCTGGCGTGGGCGCTGAAAGCAGAGGAAGGGAAGGAGGTGACCTGAGCCTGGAGAGGGGGAGGGGAAGGGAGTGGGTGTGAAATCCGCAGGTGGAGCCCTGACCACTCTGAGCCCCCCATTTCCCCGCCAGGGCACTCAGCACCCTCCTAGGCAGACCTTTCGCCAGGGGTGACAGGAAGACGCAGCCAGTGGCCCTGGGACCTCCACCTGGGAGCCCTCAGGAAGGGCCCGGGGGGGGGGAGGGGTGCCTGTGGGAGGTGGCGTGGGGGACCTGGTGTGTGTCTGCTTCCCCAGGACCGCACGGGCTGTGCGGAAGGAGGTGAGGTCAGGAGTCAGATCTGCGCTTGCCGCCCGTGGCCCAGGGGAAGGGGATGCCAAGCGAGCACAACCCACAGGGTGCTACCCGCAGTCGGCAGACGCCTTGCCTGCAGCACTGGCCATGGGGTCCAAGGGCTATTTCTGAAGGCCCATTGACAACTCAAAGCAACATTTAAAAATGTAAAAGGGGACATGCCTTTTGAACCAGCAATTCCCCTTCTTGGACCAGACAAGCTTTATGCACAAGGATGATCGCTCATGGGTCCACAGAGCACACCGGCGACGGCCTCCCTGCCATGGGCTGCGGTGGGTTTAGATAA